CATAGGAAAGCCCTGTAGGACCTATGGGTACCCTCTTAGGATAGCCCCTGAGGACCTATAGGTGGCGCATAGGATAGCCCTTGACGATCTATAAATACCCCATAAAATAGCTCCTGGAGAACTCTCCCTTAGAGTCTTATTTGACCTTTGACCCGGCACAGAGAAGCACACAGACACACACACACTGAACATTATATATATAGATTTCTTTCATTAATGTAATAAAAATATAAAATTCATTCTGAAATGCTTTTCGACACAATTTAACTTACAGCGATTTCAGGTTTTCAAATGAAAAAAAATAAAGTTGAAAGAAGTTTAGTTGGCAGAATTTCTTCTAATTATTATCAACTAAGTGTAGTTAATTATATTGAAAATAATTTTTAAATGCAAAAATAAAGTAAAAATTATTCGAATTGAAAATAAATTAAATTTTTTTGATATTATAATTTAATTTAAACCTTAATTGTTTAAAAATACATAAGATGGCATTCTTGCTACAATATGAACATTATGTTTGGTACTTACTTCTACTTTTTTGTTTGCTTCAATACACTTTTTCATTTTTCACACGAAAGTACAAAATATATTGTCAATCGTTCACTTCAACATTGATAATGGAGGACTCTCTAACTGCTATTCTAATCAGAAAAGAAATCAATAACATCGATAACAATCAACACATATATTGGTATAAACTTAATAATTTTCATGAATTTTTGTAATCGTCGTATAATAAACCATAATTAACTCTTAATAATGCAGTTCCTAGTACAAGATAGACAGTGAAATGTTTGCTATTCTACTATCTGGTTTATGTTCTACATGTATCCGTATTTTATGAATCGGCTGGTTCTAACGAAGCATACAGATATTTAAAAAATTGATTGACTTATATTTCACTACTTTTTCTTCTTGGTACGAATCAATTTGAACAAGTTAGTATGACAGACTGCAAGATATCTCTTCATTCATCTTCATTCCAATCTCATTCATACCATAAAATAATGTTGATGTCTATATCGACTATTTGATCCGGATGTACATCCGAAAATTACATTGATAAGGCAAGAGTAATTTAAGTGTATTCAAAACAATGCATTCTATTCAATTCGAGACAAATAAAATCTACACAGGTACATCATCATTTTATTATCAATAGATTCTGGACTCCTTTATAATGTCACACCCATACCTCTCATAGGCACATACAGATGGATCGATCGTAAAGAAGAAGACGGAGCCATAAACGGCTGTATCTTCATCGTACACAGTCATACTCAGCGTCTTGATGTGTCATAGCCAGCCATCGTGCCTCTCGACTCAGGTGATTCTTAAGTTTGGAAATCCATGCATTGGGGACTTGCAAGATGATGAGAGTATCGTGGATGTAACAATAATGTGAGCATAATGGATATGAAAGTTGGTAGTTCCAACTTGAAACTTTCACAATGCTTATGTGTGAATCATCAAATGTTTATTGACAGTAGTCAACTAGATCAAAGCAATATACGCCTACTACTACCGTGAGAAGGAATTATGTTTTATCTGGTTATGAGCAATATAATCCGTTGTTAATTTTATATATTCTCTTTTTTCTCAACCTTTTTATCCGAACTGCGAAATATTCTGGTCTACATAAGATATTGCTGATTTCACTTATTCGGTTACGAAGCCAATCGAAAACGGAAGAGCAGCTCTTCGTGAATATGTTTAAACCATAGTTGCATAAGCTTTTTTCATACAGTTGATTGTAGAAATGAAGTTATATCTATTTTCACTCTTCACAAGTAAGCGCATCTACTTTAGCTCGGTAACAATTTAATAATTTTTCGAAGAACCAATGGCAATTATCTTAAAGGCAAAAAAGCTGTTTTGTTCAAAAACATTAAACCGTTGACATGAAAATCGTTTTGCACATATATCATCGAAAGATTTCACAATTTCTATAATAATACATATTTCACAACCATAATATGTACAAAATAAAAAAATATAGAAATATTCTGTATAAAGTAATCCAGAGACTTACCACATTGCTATTGCCTGCTTTCGTGTTTATTTCTCAAGGTTCCTTTCTTTATGAAAAACAAACATGATCTTCTGTTGAATGAAAAGCAGAGAAAAATCGATAAACTTCATTTTAAGACAACTTTCTTTTAAAGTCTTCCACTGTCTTTCATTGCCATTTATACTGTAAGCAGCGCTTCATTCAACGTGACACGTAACAAAAAGCCTACGGCCAAATCATCTCCAACAGCTAGATTCAACCACCAGACAGACAGACATAAAACAGTACACCACTATGAGTGCGCCGGTTCAGTGCAGCTTTAAATATGGAAGCGGTATTGGCATTGGAACGTCCGCTGGTCTTGTTATCTTTTTTTGCTTTGTTGCCTAGTGTTGTAAAGAATGAGAGAAATATGGAAGCATCCTTTTAAATCAATATAAAAAAACAAACGAGAAAATGTATCCCTCAATCTAAAGTATTGTAAAGGGTACTGTTGGATAAGGCCGTAAATCAACCCGGTCTTTAGAACTTTGCCTAACATTCTTTTCAAACATCAATATGATGCTACGAATTTGTACGGACAGCTCCGCTATTATGTGCGTATGGGAGTGATTGTGAACAGGACTGGGCATGTAGTGTGCATCCGTTTGTAGTCCAGAAGGAAACACTGACTGGAACAATTAACTACACCGTAGATAACGCTTACACTAGTACTATCACGCATAACAACACCTGAGTCTTCTTAATGAAGCATTTACGCTCGGAAGAATCAAACTATTCATTTGAAAACGCATCAATACAAAAGTTTGAAAAATCTTCTAGTAAAATAAGAACTGTGATTGCGTTATGCCGGTGTGGGTGTGGGTGCCAGTGTAGATCACATCTATACCCACATCTTACTTGAAGTCACTTGAAATCACATGAAATCATTGCCGTAGCATATATATATATCAATTTCTCAAAATGTTGGATAGTCAATAGAAGAAAAACAAGAGTAACAGTTTCTGATATGGTTTTTGTTGACTTTATTGCAAAAGGAATAATGAATTAATGACGCATTCTCAGACAAATCTCATAAACAAATTTGTAACCGATTTATATTGAAATTCATCTTTCTATCAAATAATTCATGAAGTATTTGATGTAAATAGTTCTACACACAAGAAAGAGATCAGCAAGGCAGTTGAAAATCTGTATCGTCACTGCCTTACCAAGGGTCTAACATAGAAATAGATGCCTTTTTTTTTTGCATTTTTTCACCATCATGCAACAATTACTATTTCACTTATTCCATAAAATCAAATGAAGTACATGCACTTAATTCATATAAATTCATTTAAAAAACAAAATACAAAAATAGAGTGAATTATAGAAATCCAACAAAAAAGGCGAGTAAATGATAGTTGAATAAATAATTGTGTCTTCCAAGGATGGTGAGAAGTGCTGAGGATGTGGGGGTGTGGTTGTGAGTATTCCTTCGATTCATACCCACACCTACATCGACGCCCACACCATACCCTGATGGTGATTGCTGTATTTGAATTGTTGTGTAGAACGTTTGACTACTAGAGAAAACTTTCCACATGAGACCATCCAGTGAAAAGACATAAGGTACCTCTAGATAGTTCGATTGATGTGCACTTCGACTTTGTCTATTAACAGAATAAATTAAGTGATACTTTCAATCGGTATTCACTGAGCAATGACACATGTTATCCATGTTTACAGTTTTTATCAATAAAAAGTCTTACTAAATAATACCTTCATGGTTTTCAATTGAAACATATGCTAGTAACAATTGAGATTATCTTTGACCTGGTTTACTTCAATCTAAATTGTTTCTAGTACACTAAATAACTTTGTTAACCTGTTTATCAAGAACAATAAATTGAATACAAGCAATAAATAGTGCAATCCATCAATGTTTTCTTGATAGTAGTTATGCGTGTATACTGAAAACTTTTACGAAATATATATAAGAATTGATGATAGTAAAAATGCAATTGATCCCGCCAGAAAAGCAACACTACCTTCGATTTTATAATGGTCACTAGCTAGAAAAAGTGCAATACCAATCAGGAATCCACAATAACCAAGTAATGATAGGAAATTTAATAGCTTCATTATTGTAAAACTTGCAGATTTCATTTGTAATCGAATCAAAAGCCATATACTACTCACTGCGCCTAGGCTTGAACCACAGATAAACATCCAGTTTCCGAGTGTGAAACCAGACGCACCAAATGTAGGCCAAAACGCCATTGAACCAATCGAAAATAAGAGACCATTAACGATTCCGAGTGTATTGCGACAGAGTGACACTGCTAAGTCTATATCGTCTGGTTTAGTCGCAGTAGGAAGTGAGCAATTATTATTAAAAGAAATTCTTTGAAAATCGGTAATTAGTTCCTGCATTGAGCCGAAAAACATAAAAACCGAACCAAAGAAATAGTTCAATACAGCAGCTTTGTAGAGTGTCTCGATTCTTGAAAAGTGAGGAAGGAAAATGATTGAACCCAAGACAAAAAGAAATGAACTCATAAGATAAAATAAAGTATTAACGTGAAATTTCCAGTTAATTTTAATTGAATGCATTATATTTTGTACAAATAAACAGAACATGGTTCTAAACAAGTGACACCAAAATGTGTGTTGTCGTTTTTCTTTCTTCGGCCTATTTTAAATCTAGGAATAACATCAACTAAGTAGAATAAAACAAAATACACGAACAAAATGTCTCAGGAGATAATCCGTCAAAATGTCATATCATTTAGAACTCGTATTTTAAGGGTTATATGAAGTATCAAAACAGAATACTTCTGTCCTTAAAAAGTTCGCGACCATGTGCTTTCTACCGAAAGCAATGTCTATTTTACTATGACTTTGGCTGATGCTTAGGCTTTTTCTTGAAAACTTCGAATGAGCGAATTTCGAGCTAAAATTTTATCTGTTATCAGCTTTAATACCTATAAGAATGATCTGATATTTTCAACTGAAACAATGTGTTCTGTCTCCAAGATATTCAGTAGCCAAAAAACGTACTACTTGTCGAAATATACAGATATTAGAGCTGATTGCTGACAAAATTTCAGCCTAAAGCTCACTCATTCGAATTTTTCAAAAAAGCCGTGAGCATCGCCAAAACCGTAATAAAATGGGCATTACTTTCTGCAAAAGGCGCATGGGCACGAACCCTTTTACGGTAGAACTATGCTTTTTCGTGCTTCATATAGTCCCCTAAATATGAGTTGAAAACGATAGGACATCTTGAATGGGTTCTTCATCAGACAAAAAGTCTTCAGCACTATCTCTGTTGGAAAAAAATTAGAAACATGATGGATCTGGTATTAATTAAAATACGCTCTAACTCACTCTAGCTGCCATTTAGCTCGAAATTAATATCAATTGATAGAGTTTTGCATTCTACATTCATGAGACCCCAA